GGAAAACTATGATTAGCTTAGAGACTATAGCAAAACCTGAGCCCTTATTGGTGTATGCTTTGTCCTGACCTCATGTTCAGTTTTTTCAGGTATCTCTCCGTGCAGCTATTGGGAGGCCCTTAAAGATAAGGAAGACTAGCTTATCTTTCCTGTGTCCCCCACCAGCACCAGCACCAGCTGGACGTGTTAGTCACTAGTGAACCTGGTTGAGGGGTTCCTCTTTCCCCAGTGTCGTTATCCTCCCTGCTATACACTTGGCTCTCCTTAGTTCCCCAGGGATAGGTAACATTGGGAAGACGCCCCCAGCACCCAGCTATAATAGGATGGGGCAGTGGGGAGTCTGTGAATGAGGCACAGGTACTCCTCAAAAAGTTTAACATAGAATCCTATATAATAAAAGCCTAATATGCTAAGTGTCCAGTCATCTGGTTGGCCATTCAACTAGTCAAAGCGTAATATGCTAATGATATGCTAAGGCCGCTCAACTGCTCACTATGATGTGCACTGACCACCAGGAGGCAGACAGTCAACCGGTTGACCAGTCATTATGACGTGCACTGACCACCAGGGGGCAGATGCTCCAACTTGTAGGTTAGCTTGCTGCTGGGGTCTGGCCTATCGGGACTGAGCGAGATGGGCTGGATACACCCTGGACCCCTCCTGCAATCCCTCCCTGGTGGCCAACCTCCTGTGTCCCTCCTCAGCCCCTATCGTGAACTGGCAGGGTCCCTCCCAGTGCAGAATTTTGTGCACCGGGCCTGTAGTTATATATAATTGAGTAATTCTACCCCTAGGTATATACCCCAAAGTATTAAAAACAGGTACTCAAAAAATATATGTACACAGATGTTCATAGCACTATTCACAATCATCAAAAGATGGAAACAACTCCAATGCCTATTAATGGACAGATGGGTAATATTCCATTGTGGTATATCCATACAATGGGATATTATTCAGCCATAAAAGGAATGAAGCACTGACACAAGCCATAATGTGGATGAACCTTGAAAACATGCTAAGTGCAGTAACCATGTGTGCCACATATTATAGAACTCCATTTATGTGAAGTGTCCAGAAGAGGTAAATCCACAGAGATAGAAAGCAGATTGGTGGTTGCCAGAGGTTAGGGCAGTGATGGCGAACCTATGACACGCGTGTCAGAGGTGACACGCGAACTCATTTTTTTGGGTTGATTTTTCTTTGTTAAATGGCATTTAAATATATAAAATAAATATCAAAAATATAAATCTTTGTTTTACTATGGTTGCAAATATCAAAAAAGTTCTATATGTGACACGGCACCAGAGTTAAGTTAGGGTTTTTCACAATGCTGACACGCCGAGCTCAGAAGGTTCGCCATCACACTGGGCTAGGAGGAGGGGAGAATGGGAAACAATTTCTTAATAAGTATGGGGTTTCCTTGGAAGAGTGATGAAAATATTTTGGCACTAGATAGACGTGGTGATTGTACAACATTGTGAATGTACTAAGTACCATTGCATTGTTCATGTTAAAAGTTTTAATTTTATGTTATGTGAATTTCATTTCAATTATTTTAAAACTCCAGAAAAAGATAAAGCTTTTACAAACTTTGTAACCGTAATTCTTACTAGTAATAGAGACTTGTTGATACCAGTATGTCAGGACACGGTGAGAATCCTTGCCTGTAACCACCTGCCAGGTTTATTAACTGGCTTCTAATTACACTTCTTGTGGCTGAGGGGGATCAAAAATATACACCTTTGTTTCACTACGGTTGCAAAATATCAAAAAAGTTCTATATGTGACACGGCACCAGAGCTAAGTTAGGGTTTTTCACAATGCTGACACGCCGAGCTCAGAAGGTTCCCCATCACACCTGCAGCTTCTCTGGGTCTCAGTGTCAACAATTTCTTAATAAGTATGGGGTTTCCTTGGAAGAGTGATGAAAATATTTTGGCACTAGATAGACGTGGTGATTGTACAACATTGTGAATGTACTAAGTACCATTGCATTGTTCATGTTAAAAGTTTTAATTTTATGTTATGTGAATTTCATTTCAATTATTTTAAAACTCCAGAAAAAGATAAAGCTTTTACAAACTTTGTAACCGTAATTCTTACTAGTAATAGAGACTTGTTGATACCAGTATGTCAGGACACGGTGAGAATCCTTGCCTGTAACCACCTGCCAGGTTTATTAACTGGCTTCTAATTACACTTCTTGTGGCTGAGGGCAGGACACCAGGGATTTCTAACTCAGATGCCTTCAGGGCCCAACCTGTTGGGATAAATATTTGAGGTCAGCTGGGTGTGAGGCAGCAGGGAGCAGTGGGGGTTAGGTGAGATGGGGCTGGACCTGCACTATCTGTAGGCGTTCAGATGCTGACCGTCTCTCTCCGGGCTGATTCTTGCCCCATCTCCATCATTCTACCATCCCGCTTAAACCAACTGACAGACTAGTCTGTTTTACACATCGTCTTCAGTATGCCATTCAGTGGCTAAAAATCCTTTTCCTGTAACAGAATCCAAACTTCTCTGCTTCCCCTTCCAGCAGAGAGTATGAGGAAGTTTAGCTGGTTCCACGTGCATATGTACCATGAAACTCTTTTTTTAAAAAAATATTTTTTTTTTATTTCAGAGAGGAAGGGAGAGGGGCAGAGAGAGAGAAACATCAGTCATGATAGAGAATCATTGATCAGCTGCCTCCTGCACACCCCCAGTTGGGGATGGAGCCTGCAACCTTGGCATGTGCCCTGACCAGGAATCAAACCTTGACCTCCTGCTTCATAGGTTGATGTTCAACCACTGAGCGACACTGGTTGGGCATGTACCATGAAACTCTTACCCTCCTCCCCACTGTGCCTTGGGCCAGTCACCTTGAGATCTGGGGTAACAGGACTAAGCCCCATTGCCTATGAAAAGGGCGGGTTCTCTCTGAACCTTTGATTTAAGGATGGCTCCAGAGAAACGGCCAGCAGCTGGTGGCCCCTCTTTGGAGGTTCAGTGGGTTCTGTACTGTCACTTCCTTTAGTGTCCGCAACCTGAGTGCACATTCATCCGTTATCTCTGTCCAAGGAGAGAGAGAGAGAGAGGCATAGAAGAACCTGGAAAGATTTTTTTAAAAATATATTTTATTGATTTTTTACAGAGAGGCAGGGAGAGGGATAGAGAGTTAGAAACATCAATGAGAGAGTTAGAAACATTGATCAGCTGCCTCCTGCATACCCCCCACCGGGGATGTGCCCACAACCAAGGTACATGCCCTTGACCGGAATCAAACCTGGGGCCCTTCAGTCCGCAGGCCGACCCTCTATCCACTGAGCCAAACCGGCTAGGGCCTGGAAAGATTTTTAGTAGATGACATGAAGAAAGGTTTTTTTTTTGTTTTCTGTTTTTTATCTGCCCACCACTCAGAGGCCTGGACCCTTTCAGGCGTTGGAAGCAGGGAGTGGGGAGGGCCGTATCAGGGGAGAGGGTGTGGAGGAAGGAGACTTAGTCCATTAGGTTCAGGGAGTGGCTGGCACAGTTTTCTTTTGTGCCTCCAGCTCCGTGGCTGCTTGTAAACGCTCTTTACTGATGGTTTCCTGAGAACCACGTAGGGCTTGGAGATGGTTGGCCCCCATTCTTTCCATGTGGTAGCAGTTGGACATTGGCTGGGGTTGGAGGGTGGTGGGAAAAGTACAGTTGTATGCCTGCAGGACCTGCCTAAGGCCCTTGTCCTACACCTCCCCAGCCTGAGTGGCAGGGAAGCCTTCCTCCTTCCCTGGAATCCTGTGTTCAGAACTCTGAATTCCACGTGGTCAGTGTCTGGCCCCCGAGCGGCTGTGTTTGCTCTGGGCCTGCGGAACCATCCCACTAGTGAAAATGGAGGCTTGCCCTTCACAGATCCAGGGCGTTCACTCACTGCCCCTCCGGCAGAGTTCCTTGGCTCAGCTTACAGCACTGCAGTCAATTAGCGTTGTTGCTCTTTTGGGGGAGATTGGCTCCCACAGGGCACACTTATCGCTGAATCGTCCTGTGCGTGAGGTGGCTGCCTCAGCTGCTGTCTGAGGAACGCCAGGATGGCTCCCACACCGCGATGCTTTGGCGTTAAAGCCTGGGAGACGGCCCAGTATAACCAGTTCAGCCACCATTTCTTCCTTCCTGGCCATGTTCATAGAGAACATCATGGGAGTGAACGCGTGTGTACCCTCTGACCCTGTCAGCCACTTCCCAATGGGGAGCGGGTGAGTTCCTGGAATAAGGGGAAATCTCTGTGTCCCAAAATGTGTTTCCTTATGAGCTTAAGTAAAGTACCTTGAATTGGTTCATGGAGACTGTCCAGACATGAAACCTTGGAAATCCAACATGCACGTCCATTCCTTGTGGGCTTAGAAAGGACTCTGGGTTATCCTTGTACCTCAGTCTGTGAAGCCGTTGTTTCCTGATGTGTTGTAAAGTGAGCTTATGTGTTTGTATGTACTAGTATGTGTGTGCATTTTCAATGATCGTGTTATTTAGATATTCTTCATGTACCATGAAGTTTAGGCTATAGCCCAGCAGTGCTCTGGCCGACAGAAAGCCCAAGTATCCCCTCCTCAGAGGGGTCAGCTGTGACCTCAGCGCCTTCCTTAGGGGGTGAATGGGCCATGTGTTATAAGATTAAGAGAGAAGGCTCTTGAGTCAGGCTGCCTGAGTTCAGTCCTAGCTTATTTGGTGGGTGGCCTTGGAAAATTTAATGGTGCCATAGTTCAGTTTCCTCACCTCAGTTTCCTCTGTGAAACAGAGATGGCAGTAGTACCCACCTCATAAGGCTGTGTGTGGTTTGGAGATAATGCTGATAAAAGACTTGGCATAAAAATGGTGCCTCGTTGGTGTTTAAGAGTGACAGCTCTGACCATCAGTCGGTCCGTGGTAGCTGCATGATGGAGCCTGTACAGGAGAGGACAGTGGGTCCCCAAAGGCTCTGCATTTGGTGGTTGCCCTGTGACTAATGGCAGACTCTCTGGTTTCTTTGTATTCCTTTCCTGGCCCAGTATTGATCCTCCAGAAGGTGGAGAATGGAGACCTGAGCAACAAGATTCTGAAGATCACTGACTTTGGCCTGGCTCGGGAATGGCACCGAACCACCAAGATGAGCGCGGCAGGGACATATGCTTGGATGGCCCCCGAAGTCATTCGTGCCTCCATGTTTTCCAAAGGCAGCGATGTGTGGAGGTAAGGTGCAGGGGTGCGGGGTCAGTGTCCCTCAGGTCTGTGTTGGCTGCACACACACTTCGGGGCTTGGAGAATTGAGGTTGCATAGATGCCCAGGAACCTCAAGTAGGTCTAAGTGACGCCTTCAGAGCAATCTACACCAATTCCCGAGTTGCCAGGGGACAGTTTCCAATGCTTTCATCTGCCAGAAGTCCCTCCAGTGCCGTGGCAAGTGCACATCTGTGCAGGCCCCTCTCTGTTGGTGATTGCTCCCTAGGGAAGATCAGGGGCAGTGTGTACTCCCATCGTTGACTGTAGGGGGTGAGGGCCCTCCGTCACTCCTGGAGACCTTCACCAGAGTCACCCTGGCTTGCTTAGCGACAGTGCTCTTACTGCTGGACTTGTCCCCACTATAAGCTCCTGGGACGATAAGTATTCACCGTGCTGTCTCTTTTTTCTGGTGACTGGAAACTATCCTTTCCAATTATCCGGTTAACCTTTTTAGCCTATCTGTTGAATGTGGATAAGGAGTAGGAAAAGAAGTCCAAGCATGTGCCCAGAAATGCATAGTCACAGATTGGACCAGCCATCTGCCTAATAAATATCAGCCCACGAGGTCACTTTTGTATTCCTTTAAGAGGAATACAAGTTTTTGTGTGAACATATGGATCTAAAACTCTTGTCCCCACTGATGGGAGGAAAAGAGGAGGAGCATCTACAGAGCATGCAGCCCGTGGCTGTGAGACTGGGCATCACCTTGGTACGCAAAAGAAAGGACTATAGGTTATCGTTGTACCTCAGTCTGTGAAGTCCTTACTTCCTGATGTGTTGTAAAGTGAGCTTATGTGTTTGTATGTATGTGTGTGTATTTTTAATAACAGCGTTATTGAGATAGTCACATTTACCCTTTAAAAAGTATGGCAGTGGTTTTTAGTAAATTTACAAAGTGTTATACCAATCACCATTGTTATTAGTTTCCTAGAGCTGCTATAACAAATTACCACAAACCTGGTGTCTTAAAACCATAGAAATTTATAGTTTGGGGATCAGAAGTCTACAGTTAGTGGCCCTAGGGCCACACCCCCTCCAGAGACTCTAGGGAGATTCTGTTCCAAATAAGGCTTTTGGGTATGAAGACATGGACATAACTTTTTAGGGCCACCATTCAACCTACTATAACCACTATCTATTTTCAGAATATTTTTATTGCCCAAAAAAGAAACCTGATGCCCCTTAGCAGTCATTTCCTAATCTGCCCTGGCAACCACAAACTTACTTTCTGCTCCAGGGGGCTATTCCAGACATTTCATACAAATGGAATCATATCATATATGGTCTTTTGTGACTGGCGTCTTTCATTTAGCATAATGTTTTCAAGGTGTATCCATGTGTTAGCATGTGTCAGAACTTCATTCCTTTTATAGCTGAATAATATTCCATTTATGGATATACCACAATTTGTTTATCCATTGTTCATCAGTTGAGGGACATTTGGGTTTTTTCCACTTTTTGGCTCAGTGCTGCTATGGACATCTGTGTACAAGTTTTTGTGTGAACATATATGCTATCCGTTCTCTTGGGTATATACTGAGGAGCAAAATTGCTGAGTCACGTGGTAATTCTATGTTTAACTTTTTGAGGAACTGCGAAGATATTTATCTTTCTCTGACTGGCTTATTTCACTTAGCATAATGTTCTTCATGCTGTTGCAAATGGTAGGAGTTCTTTCTTTTATACAGGAGCGTAGTATTCCATTGTGTAGATGTACCACAGTTTTTAATCCACTCATCTGCTGATGGGCACTTAGGCTGTTTCCAAATCTTAGCTGTTGTAAATTGTGCTGCTAGAAGTGTATTTCTTTTAAGGAGTAGTCCAGTTAGTCCAGGCTGGTGTGCCCTATGAGATCGTTCAGGAACCCAGGTTCTTTCAGGTCTCTCAGTGCATTGTTCTTGCCTGAATGCTTACATCTGAGTTGACTGTTGCTTCTGCATTACAGTCTGCAGAGAAGGAGAATGAGAGCTTATCCGTGGCAAGCAGTCTGTCTTTCATTTGGAGATGACCCAGAAGTAGTGCACATCTCCTCTGTGCACACCCCATTGCCTGCTCTAGGTTATGTATGCACACCTGGCTCCAAGGGAGGCAGACAGATGTAGGCTGGACAACTATGTGCCCAGCTAAAACCCTTTTTATGGAAGAAGGAGAGAATGGATTCCGGGGGACAATCAACCACTTGCCACACTCAGCTACATCTTAACGTTCTTCATGGGACAACAGGACTCAGTAGCATGATTGTTTTCTACTTTCTACATGCCTGCTAGCCTCTTCTCCCAGCCTGGCCCCCAAATCACTCAGGATTAATTGTCACATTCCCAAGATTTCTGTTGCTGCAATGATTTGGGCAGAGTTGCCTCTGGATACCAGGTACATTCTTAGCAGGAAGAGCAAACCCTATATGCCTAATGTCAGATCTTCTCATAGTGATAGAAATCCAGGCAAGGAAGGGCAAGGCCATTGCAGGGCTCTGTCCATCAGGGAAGTAACAAGGCAGAACCTTTCAGCTTTTACCCAAAGTGTCCTTGTTCCAAGACTAAGCTCCAGGTTTTGCCCTGAAAGCACACATCCTGAAAGCAGGCTTGAGGAGCCTCTGGTGAGAGGCATCTGATGATGTTGTTCTACTACCTGAAGGAGTAGCTGGGAGGTAAACTTCAAATCAACTGCACTTTGGATGAGGTGTCTTGGAATTTGTCTCATGGTCTGTTCTGCCAGTGGCTCTCTGGATTAGGACTGTTCCCCGGGGCTCAAGCCTCCTGACTGAGCGTGGTTGATGAATGTGGTTTGAAAACATAATTCACCCTATTTCTTTCTAGCTTCCTTAGCTTCCATGCTTCAGTATTTCTTTCTAGGACACCATCTATTGAACCTATTACATGAGCCTTTTATCTCTTTCTCTTCAAACCTGCTCATCTAAGTGGCTCCAAATGATCTTGCATCTTTACCAGAAGAAAACATGTGCCCATTGCTATTCATACAGCACACATACACTGATAGCAGCATTTACTGCCCACGAATGCTTACAGGCCAGGCTCTATACTGAATGCCGTACATCGTTTATCTCATGTGTGGGATGAAATGGAGGTATTTTATTGATCATTGTAAGTTTCTAAAGTTACAGTAGTAAAACGTGTTCACTATAGAAAAAATTAGAAAATATGGATAAACAAAGAAAAAAGAAAAAGAAAATCACCCACAACTTACTTCCAAAGATAACCTATATTAATATTTTGGTGTACTCATTCCTGTTTACATGCTCATCCACCCATCCCTTAAAATAGGGTCATTCTGTTTTTTAAGCTACTTTTTAAATATAATATTGCATGAGCATATCAAGAAGTATGTACTGCCAATAAAAATATCAATGTATATGTTACATAAATATGTTAGTAAATATGTTATCATTTTGAATGAGGATCCAGATAACAACAAGAAGAATTGTATGCTACTTTACAATTTACAAAGTGTTTTCACATATTTTAAGTTCAGTTGTTTTTGCCAAAGATTAGTAAACAGTCAGTGAGGTTCCTGAATGTGGGGTCACAGCTGATTACCAAGTGCAAGAGCCCATTCAGGGGGCACCTCTCCCTTTAGGGCATGGACCCCTGAGTTGACGGTTATCCCTAATAAACAGGTTAGCTCTAACTTAGAGATAACACAGGTTAAGAAGAAAAACAGTCCTGGTCCAGTTCAGGTGCGGAATTGCTGTGCCTTTGGTCGGGAAGGATTGCTATCGACTCCGATGCTTTTCTTCAAGTTGAAAAAAATAAAACACCCCTCCCCAACCTTTGACCATACCCAACAGGGGAAGGTTACCACAGCTCTGGAGGTGGCTAATTAATGACATGGGGTGGGGGGGTGAGTTCCCTGAGGGCAGCACTGTGGGAGACGGCGGTTCTCTGTGGGGGAGGGAGTCCCAGGCAGTGTTTCAGCGGGTGCTTCCAGGCTGCTTGAAAATGGTCTTGACCTTCCCTGTCAATCCCAGGAGGGCAACAAATTAAACTAAACTTGAGGTAAATCAGTGGGCTTCTGCCCGCCTCTCCCTGGGGCTCAGACCCAACTAACGTGTATTTCTCCAGTTTCTTTCTTGGACTCTATTGCTGTGAAAGGAACACCAAGACTTCCTTTATATCACCCACCTTCTGTTACAAAAATAAACAGGAACATTGGCAGAGGGAAACTCGGACTGGTTGAGTCATCCCGGAAAGGCTTCTTCCAGAAGGCAGGTGTCCTTCAACAAGGCCCTCCCCACACACGGAGGGCTCTCCCCAGCTCCCACCAGCCACTCTCACATCAGGCCTCTCCAAGGGCAGCACCGATGTTTGCTGGCCACGGGTGGTGACTTCTGGATGAGGAGCAGTTGTTATTCTCTGCTCTGCGAGGTGTAGGGGAGGCCGTCTTTGTACAGATGAGGGAACAGGTCTGGAGCCATGACCTTGCTTTTCCAAGGTCACGTGGCTGGTAAGTGGTAAAGCAGGCATTTGACTGAAGTCTGTCTCGATCTTTCTTGGGGAGTAGTCCTCCCATTTCACTTAGTTGTAGAGCCCTTCAAATGGAATGGAATGCTGATGCCCAAAGAAGCCAGACAGGTATGAGCAGAGCTGCTCGTGTTGCAGCCGAGAGGTGCCTGGCCCCTCCCTTTTCCAGGTGGCCTGAGACTTCTCCATGGGTCACCTAGGGCTCCGCCGAGAACCGTCACATGGGGGATGCTAGGACACAGAGAGGATGCGTGTTTGGATCTTTGAAACTCTACTGTCTTTCCAGGTGGTTAGGGTTCAGACACCATTTGTCTGTGCCTGGATGGGAGAAAGAAGTTCTTTGGGACCGTGGGTGTTCCTTCCTCGAGGTGGAGGTGGGCAGTAATGCCAAGGGCAGGCAAGAGGAAAGTCGCTCTAACCTAGGAATACAGCCAGCAGTACTGAGAGTTTATGTGGTAAAAGCTGCCCAGCATGAGCTCTGTCTGGGGGCCACATTAAAGGTCTGGTAGGAAGTGTAACAGTGCAGTTCTTGGTGGTTTTCAGGCCTTACTCAGGGTTACCCAGTGCACCCTGCAGGACCATCTCACCAGGCACTCACTCCCACACCTCTCCACCAACTCACTCACTAAATGAGTGCCTACGATGTACCAGAGCCTGAGCCAGGCCCTGAGAACGCAGATTAAACACTACTATCCCTGCCCTCTAGGAGCCCATAGGCTGGTGAACAAACAACTACAGAATGTGGCAGCCCAAACAAAGGCTGCGTAACACCTGGAGGGGTTAGGCAAGGCTTCCTAACGTGTCCAATTGTTCCCATCAGCCTCAGTCTAAAATCCAGCACCTTGTCCAGACAAGACTTTGGAACTGTCTACCAGGCTTTTTCCTGTCAAGATATATCAAGTGTTTGGAGGGCTCACTGGGGTAAAGCCATTGTCTTAGGAGACTAGCCAGGCCACTCTGAGGGTCCATCTATAGGGATCCCCTGGCTGCCCTGGCTCATGGGTTGGCACATTGTTGCTCTTTGGGGCCCTGCCAGGCCACTGGGGCTTCTTTAAAGACAAGTTCATGTGCTTGTACGTGCTGATCCCTGTCTCTGGAGCACTAACTCTTCCTTCACTCAGCATTCTAGGTTTAGCTCAAGGTTTAGCAATCTCCCATCCCATCCTGGTCTGGTTTGGGCGACCCTCCTTTGTGCTCTCATAGTATCTCTGTTGTGACTCATTTCTCCATATTCTAATTGAAGGTCTTTCTGTTCCTCTCATTAATCTCTTCGTGGATAAGATCTGTATCATTTTTTTTTTTTAATCCTTACCCAAGGATATGTTTTTATTGAAGGGAGAGGGAGAGAGAGAAAAAAATTGATGTGAGAGAGAAGAAACATTGACCGGTTGCCTCCCATACTCACCCTATCTGGGGATCTGAACCTGCAACCTGAGTATGTGCCCTGACCGGGAATCAAACCCAAGACCTTTCAGCTTCACCAACTGAGCCACACCAGCCAGGGCAAGATCTGTATCTTTTATCCTGCATCCTAGTGTGTGGCATTGAACTTGATGCATAATAAAGATTTAACAGATGTTTAAAATGAATTAATAAATGGTGGTGCATTTGAATCGGATCTTGAAAGACTATTAGAGTTTACCAGGCAGAGACATGGTAGAAGGGCATTCTAGAGAGAAAGAATGGAAAGGTGGTGCAGGGTCCACCATGACTTACTTCATGTACCTGTATGCCCTTAATATATGCTGCTCAACCTTTCTAGAGCTTGCTTTCCTCATCTGCAAAATGATGAAACTTACCTTGCAGGTTTGTTGTAGGGATTCAAGATGGTGTTTGTAAATGGCATAGTACCCTGCACATGCAAGGTACCACGATAAAATAAATACTGGGTTCTTTCTTTCTTTCTTTTTTAAAAAAAATTAATATGACTTTTTGTTGTTTGTAAACTACTGATGAATATTAAAAAACTCGAGGTTTGTGTTGAAAATATAAAAAGAGCCACTGTTCCAACCGTTCATGGCCTTACGTTTTCTTGTCCTGACTCATTCCTGGAAGGATTAAACATGCTGTATTTTGTCTAGTTCTGATTGTGAACTCGTAGAATAGTTATTCCGCTAAACTCTGTGCTCCTCATTCTCTGGCTTCCAGGACCTGTGAAAAGAAATTCTTCATGTAGACTTGCAAGGTAGGGAGGGAGCTCTGATGTCCTCACAGCTGGTGATCTGCTGTGCTCGGCTGGTGCAGGCCCCCTGGCGCAACGTCCCCTTGGAATTAGCGGTGTCCATTAAGGGCTCACACTGATGGGGGCAGGAATCTATTCAACCTAGTGGGCGTTAAAGAAACCTTTTTAAAGATTTTAGGGGGGAAAATCTGTTTGTTTGGAGTGGTCAGCTTTCTGTGTTTCCAAAGCTAAAAAAAATATATTATATATATATTTATATTTGTGACTAAAGCCGAAATTTTTTTAGAACAGAAAAACAGGTATTTTGGGGAGGCTGCCCCTTCTCCCAGTTTATTATACTAACAATAACAATAACAAAATAGCTATGGCCCTTGAGCACTGATTTAAACACTAGAGGAGCTCATTTAATATCGTGAGTCTTGAGAGACTGCTAGTGTTATTTGCCCTTTACAGGTGAGGAATTTGAGGAGCAGACTTTGAAACCAAGGGTGCTTGACTCCAGAGTTTTTGCTTCCCTCCAGAAGGCCTTATGGTCCCCCTTTCATATTACGTTACTACGTCCATTTTGTTCGTCTCCCTACATGCTGGAGAGAACGTGGCGTGCTCAGCAAGCACGCATGAATGAGCTACTTCAGTGCAGTTGCACCTGTGGTTATCACATCTTCTCCTCCCTAGCTACGGGGTGCTGCTTTGGGAGCTACTGACTGGTGAGGTGCCCTTCCGAGGGATCGATGGCCTGGCAGTCGCTTATGGAGTGGCCATGAACAAACTCGCCCTCCCCATCCCTTCTACATGCCCAGAACCTTTTGCCAAACTCATGGAAGGTAAGTGATCCCTGGCCAGGACAAAACTGGAGACGGTTCACCTTCCTATCAGCACTTGATAGATTTTGGCCAATTCTGTGGGATCAGTTACTGAAAGAGGAGATGAAGTGTTAGTCACTCAAGGAGGAATCCTATGGGTGGTTGGAAGAGCTACTTCAAGATGATATTAGCACCCTGATAGTTGATGTCAGAGCTGTCCCTTCTGTCCTTCTCCAGTGACTGTAGATCTTAACTTAGCAACCAAAGCCTGCTATCCAGTTCTTCATTATATTATTAACGCAAATGAAGAAGGTATAGCCGCTTTTATTTTAGGACCTCTGCGTGTCTTACGTGTAGAAATAAAGAGCACCTGAGAAGAAAGGAACTCTCAAAGTCATCTAGTCAAATCCTACAATTTTGTGAGAAATCCAAAGCTGAGAAAAACTAAGTGGATGGGTGGCCACTCCATTAGTAAGAGCTGAGCTGCAAGTAGAAAGAATTCATTTTTCCTGACTCCCACTCCAGTGCTGTTGATCCTTGCCTTCTCAATTGCCCATTGAGGTGGGGGAGGGTAGCTCATTGGTTTTTGAAAAATTGAGGCCCAAGGTGTAGTTACCCACTGTAGGACTGGACTCGTGAGTAACTGGATCAAGTGTGGTAGTGTACTTCACACAAGGGAACTCTTTGGACTTGCCTTTCTTGTGCTGAATCAATAGTCACCATTGGATGGGTGCACAAGTGCAGCATTTTCTTTCCAAGTTCACCCTCTTTGATTGTGATGCTGGGCACCTGGCTTTACTTCCTTAGCCCTGTTTGTGGACCTAAATCCCAGTCTCTGTTTCTGAAAGGAGAAATGAGAGGTAGTTGTCTGGTAAGTGAGGTCATCATATCCTAAGTCTAACATTTGCCTCTATCCATTCATGCTTTTTGTCTGCTCATGTGCTCCGTGAAGATTGCTGGAATCCGGACCCCCATTCACGACCACCCTTCACAAATATCCTGGACCAGCTAACTACCATAGAGGAGTCTGGTTTCTTTGAAATGCCCAAGGACTCCTTCCACTGCCTGCAGGATGACTGGAAACATGAGATTCAGGAGATGTTTGACCAACTCAGGGCCAAAGAAAAGGTAAGAGAAAAAAGATAAAGTCGTGCATTGGATCAGTAAGCCTTCTCTGCTGGGGCCTCTGGGAAGATCCTGACACGACCGCCTTCCTGCTTGGTTTGCAATAACGGGGCAGCTCTTTCCTTCTCTGCTTTGCATGGAAAGAATGCTCCAGGCCTCACATGTGACCTGAAATGGTATAGACTTTTTCTTCTTTTGGAAGTATGGTGGGAATAAGTAGGGGGAGTTGGAGCCAAAGCTCTCCTTGAGCCTATCTACTTCATTGTCCAAACTGAGGGAGCACACCATTGGGCAAGTACCAACGTGGTGTCTCACCTGCCAGCTGAAAGTGCAAAAGAGTTCTCCAAAGGTTTCTTGGCTCTGGACTTTTCGAGGGGTAGCTCTATTCCAAGGATACTTCAACATGGAGAACAGTTATCGGAACACCTTGCCAGTGTCTTTTGGTATCAGAATCAGAAATAGCATGTGGGCTAAAAATACTATGAATCTGAAATTGTTGGGCATTTTTCATGTTTTTGTGAAAAAGGCTGACAGTCCAAACCAACCAGGGAGTTCAGAGACTTAGCCAGGTAGAGATCCATCTTCCTGTTTTGTGGCCGTTTTGTAAATGTCCCCTCTCTATGCCCTTGGTGCAGTCAGTGTCCCCACAGGTAAAGTTAATCAAAGCAGCTGGGTTGCTTTATACTGCAGGGACAGAACTAAATCTAAGGGCTACAGCGAGGGCCCGGAGGGGGGTCTAAATATAGACTTGGTTAATTTCT